AACACGGCCAAAGTGCCCAAAAAACCTACAACAACCATTAGATCCCGGCCGTGAAAGCCTTCACGAATACATTCCTCTTTATTATTTACTTTACTTATTTAATTTTATTTAGATTTTACCTTTCTTCTAATAAAAAGACATAAGATAGCAAAGCTTTTAAAGAGGCTTTAGAAGAGACAGAAGCCAACTGAGATAGGGAGGTATTTTAAAATCTTGTTTATAATTTTTAAATAATATTTTAGTTATTTGCATACTGTAACTTTAAATTTTAATCAATATGTGCTTAATTAATTGTGGATTTTAAATTTTTTTATGCTTCCTTGAGTTCCCACTAAGGAAGAAAAGAAGGATGAAAATACATTTCTACCTTCCTCAATGCGGGGTTAGTAGTACCAGATGCCCATTTAGGGTGGGAAGTTATACCTTACAGAATTTTCCATATACTGTATGTTAGGGGACTCTAACAGCTGAGATGTGGAAGAACAACTTTTCCAAGCTCCAGGGGTGGGAATCACAACAGGAAGTCACTAAAACACACAAGAAAATCATTTGCCATGTCCTTATAAAAACAATATATGAGTCTGCATTAAAACGCAAGTATGGATCTTTTGTACCAAGGTTAAGCCATCCTGTACACCCAAAACTGCCCCCAAGTATCTCATACTTCATACTGCTTAACAAGTGACTGCTGTCAATTTTGATGTAAGATAAGAAGAAAGCTTCCTCCTCAGTAGATCTGTTGCACTGTTAAACTCAAGTTGCTTTTAATAGAGATCCTGATCATCCATACCAAGATGCTAATTTACAAATGAAGATATAAGAAAGTACACATACATGCACTTGAACATAGACATCCAGATTAATTCTACAGTTCATTACATCAGTTGGAAAAAGGTGGAGTTATGATAAAGTTTAATGGCATAGTAATTACACTTTGCCTGGAAAATCAAGGCTTAATCCCTTTCAAAAAATATGTTAATTTTAGAGCATTGTGAATGCAGGCTTGTAATAGAAAAAGGAGTACTGTACTGTATTTATTGATATGCCAGTAATGTTAAGAAAGAAAGAAAGAAAGAAAGAAAGAAAGAAAGAAAGAAAGAAAGAAAGAAAGAAAGAAAGAAAGAAAGAAAGAAAGAAAGAAAGAAAGAAAGAAAGAAAGAAAACTACATAAATTTCTGCATCTTACACAAATTCATCTGTTTCTTTTAAACTAATACTAAAACTAAGGGTGGTTTTTTAACTTCTAAGGAAAATTTACACTTACATGTCATTGATAAATAAGTTAAGAGATGGTCTTAAAATAAATTATGACCAAATCAGGAATCAAACTAGTGAGTTCAGAGGCAGGATTACGCTACTAACAGGAACAATCGCTAGCCAATTCACCAAGCAAAATAAATAGCACATGAGCTCATGTGGTGTTTCTGATAACCTGACCATGGTGAGATGATGAGGTACCTTTACTTCTTCACAGAGACAAAATGGTTGACAGTTTACAGAATGAGTGGCTTAAAAAAGGGCAATTCTTCTGCATATCAGTGACATCATTCTGTCAGTGGGACAGATGGAAACTGAAACAAAGATTCTTCTATGGTTCCATCTATTTTGGGACCCAAAAATCTGCAATAGAAGCTTCTGTATATTCATTTTGTATTACTACTACAAGCCTGTAGAGCAGTTCTAGTCAATGAGCAACTGTTTTTCTGGCTTGACTGCTCATGCCACAAAAGTCTTTCAATGTGAATATATCTTTATTTTAAGAGATACAATGAAATGAGAGAATATTGACGATAATTTACTACTAGCAGTCAGACTTAACATTCAAATAGGACTTTTTCAGTGTCCAAAGTCCCTCTTACATACAATCAAGTTGCTTCAACAATCTTTACAACAACTACATAAGAATGTTTGTTTGAAATTGGAATGCTCAGAGAGGATGACTTCTCTAAACGTTTAATTCTAAACCAAAATGTCTGTGCTTACAATTTGTACAACAATACTATACCAACTCCCCCTGCCGTGCTGCTGCACTGAAAGGTAGGCATCATGTTTGCTGGTTTAAATTTTTGTTAGAAACCCTCAAGTCCACCAACTAGAGCCAAGTACAAAAGACACAAAATTCAATAATAGGGAAAAATTCAGTATTAAATATATTCTTAGTATCAGAACAAGAGATCGAAAGAATACTTGATAAATTCCTCACACTTCTCCATTTAGGCTGTTTCGACCTGACAAGACATCTAGGCAAGAAAAAGACATTAGAGATGGTTCATAATTAGAGCTGAAAGCATGTTAACGTTGCAAAGAGATGACTGACGCAATCTTTCAATAGTTCTGCAATCAATATTCAAAGGAATCCCCTACTAAAGTCCAGAAAAACTATCACCAAACAAAGGAAACTATCCAAGAGATAAGCAAAGCTCTTGGTCTGAGAATCAAGATGTTCATATTAAGAATATTTCTCTTCTAGTCACAGACTTCCTATAACATCAGTTTCTGGTCCTAGACAAGAAATGTTCCAGTCCCCTAAGATTCCTCATTTCCTGTGCAAATGAAGGACAACAAATACATTTTCCTCCACAAAGGGTTCTGTATTTTGTACAAAATGCTTCCGCGGAAACAGACACAAAATTGCTATCTTTTTCATTTAAAAAGCAAAGCCCACACACAGAATGAACAAGCACAGGATGACGAGCCGATTGTTTAAAAAAATTAAAAACAGGCAAAGAACCCATTAGATGCTTCAGTTGTATAATCATTCATGAAAACAGCAGCGGCCACTGCAATTGTGTGCAACTTTGGAAGATTGCACAATTGGTACAAGTCACACAATTTGTTTAAAACAACTGAGTTGATAGTACCAAAAAAATTTCACCTTCCAAGGTGAGAAGAAAAAATATATATACAATGGTGCCTCGCTTAATGATTACCTTGTTAAACACCGAAACCGTTTTACGATGAAATTTTTGTGATCGCTATTGCAATCGCAAAACGATGTTCCTATGGGAAAAAATCACTTAACGATGATCGGTCCCCTGCTTCGGGAACCGATTTTTCGCTAGATGACGATTTTAAAACAGCTGATCGGCTGCTCTAAAATGGCCGCCCACTGTGCAAAATGGCTCCCCGCTGTGCTTTAGAACAGATTCCTCGCTTTACAGGCACCGGAAAATGGCCACCCTATGGAGGATCTTCGCTGGACGCTGAGGTATTTAGCCCACTGGAACGCACTGTTCAATGCATTTCAATGGGTTTTTTAATTTCGCTTCATGAGGATTTCGCTTAACAGCGATTTCAACGGAACAGATTATCTTCGTCAAGCCAGGCACCACTGTATAACAATTCTTCATCCTTCTTGAAGACAAACAAGGACTTTCATTCCTAACTAGCTCAGCTGAGTTCAAGCTCTTTTGTAAGAATCTCTCCCAGTTATTCTAAGCGTCCTTCATTTGAGCAGACTGAAGTAGGCAGAAGTAATTTTGCTCCCATTATTTTTAAAGTACAGTGGTGCCCCACAAGACGAATGTAATTCATTCTGCGAGAATCGCTGTCTTGATAAAAAAATCATATTGTGAGGTTCCCTATGGGAACATGGCAAGACGAATGAAATTTATTCGTCTTGCGAGGCATCGGTCTTGAAAAAAAAAGTCTTGCGAAGCATGGCCATAGAAGAAACTGTCTTGCAAGGCACCATAGCAATCACAAAAACCAATCGTCTTGTGGGTTTTTATCCCGTAAGGCAATCGTCTTGCGAGGCACCACTATATACTGCTTAGGAACTGTGGGGGCCTCTGAGGGAAACCGTGACCAAAGTTCTGTCTCCATGGCAACTGGCACAACAGAAAATTCTGATCTGCCACTAGCCCAGGTCGTTCAGTGTTTTCTAGTCAAGGCAGAAGATACTTTACATAATCTTGGTGAGAGGATTATTATTAATGGAAAGTCTTAGGTAGGAGTTGTTGACACTTGTTCTAATATCACCCTGTGCCATCCTGAAGTGATTCCTCAAGTGCAACTTCTCCCAAACCATCAAGGGAATAAGTTCTACCCCAGTGATTTTACCCATGGCTAAAGTGAAAATAAACTATAGAGATTGGGTTAGAATTTGGGATGTGGCAATCTCTTATCAAATTCCAGCACCTTGTTTAATTTGGCTAGATCTCACTAAGCATGTGCAGAGTGCTTGTGAAGTAACAGGATCCCTGATAGAGCAGTTGGCAATCCCTGAGGGAAAAATGGAATCTCAAACCTCTGAATCTATCCAGGGATGCCCCAAGTTAGAAAAGA